GATAATTTTTTAACGTTTACCCCAGCTCTCTTGAGACACATGATAAAAACAAGTAAATTTCTAATATTGAATGTACATTGTATATATATATAGTATTGATGAAGTCTCTCAAAGTGAATCCTTTTAGCTTTTCTTTGTTTGTGAGCTTTTCTTTGTTTGTGGACAGACAAAGAGGTCTTGTGATTGTCCATCATCGGAATTTACAGCCGATTCACTTTGAGAGTCGTCATCATGAAAATTATCAGAAAAAAAGTATTTATGATTTGTTGTTAGCTATTTAGTTGCTCTTCAATTTTCAATTTGAATTTCTTTTAGTTGTTTCTCTAAATCTCTTTTATTTTTGTTTTCCTCTTTTAGTTATTTTGTTTTCTTCTTTCAGATTATTGATTTCTTTTTCTACCAAATTTATCTTGAAATTGGTCATTTTGGATGCAGCTTTGCATTTTCTACCAACTTTTTTGATATCTACTATCCCTTCTTTCTTATTCCCATGCTCAATTTTGTGTAGCCCCCAAGTATTTGCAGCTCTATAGTTTTAAGGTAGTTTAGTGATTTTTTTTTAATTTCATCCATAATAACTGTAAAAAAGAAATAAAAATTAAGAAAGCTCATCCACACTTTTCAAGAGTTATGTCCCTTTTTACACTTCTGAAGAAAAAACAATAAATATTAATTATAAATGCTCTTAAACTCATTTTGATGTCTTATTCCCTGTAAGCTTCTTAAAAAAAGACAATCAACTATATTGGTCCTTGAACACATTAAACACATGCACATGGGCATGCATGTGCAACGATCAAGTCAACTTTTCTACACATTGCACACATGCACAAATATAGGTTTAACTTCAAATATAGAAGTAGTTTACAAGATCAAGTACCCAGGAAGAAAAATATATTATTCAATAATAAGAAGAAACAGAGTAAAAACAATGTGAATATCACTATAATTAATATTTAAACAGACAATATATGTACAAATGATACTGGTTTAATCGGGATTTTTTAAAAAATATTTCCAAAAACGTTTCGGTTCTGTGTCAGATTCATCCGAGTCTTGTAATGTAGAATTTAATATGATAGCCTTTTGAAATCGTTGTCGAATTTGTTAATTTAGATCATTTGTTGGATGGAGTCCATCAGCTAATTTTGAATATTAAAAACGTTTCCTGGTTCCAGCTCTTTTAATTGGGACGTTAACTTCTAAAGTTGCATGGATATATGGAGTAGAATAATTTGAAGTAGAATTCTTATTATATTTCGATTTTATTCTTGAATGTTTGCATTGATGATATTTTGCATTTCATGGTATTTGGTTTCCAATTTTAAATAAGTTGTATTTCCTAGTGATTTTCTAGTATTAATCTATTTTTCAACAATCATGGTAGGTACTGTTGTAAATATAAGTTTATTTCCGTTTTTCTCTATTGATTTTTTCATATGTTCAATGTGGTTAAAAATCTGGCATATTGAAATTTTCTTTTACAACAAATTCTTCATTATTTGTCTCCCTTTTGAAATTAGTAAAGTCATTAATTCCTGCATAAACATAAATGGTAATATTTTTGATTTCATTAATTACAAATTGCATGATAGTTTGTAGAATGGTGATCATCGTGACTCCTGGGAACGTTTTAATATTAACATTTTCAATGGACAGATTTTTTCCTCTGCTGTCCGCAAATATTTGTACGGATTCCATAATAGGGTTTAGTCCCTACTACCAACAACTATTAAAATTTAGATATAACTTGGGACATCAGTAGACATCAATAAGATACATAATTCTCTCCTCAAACTTGAGGTAACTTAACAGTTGGGCTTTTAATCTCATGAAAGTTGAGACTCCCCAGTTTTAACATCCTCTAGCTCTTTTTGTCTTTCAGCTAATCTCGTAATTTCAAATCTCTTTCTACCTCTAGCTTTGCACTTTCTCTCTGTGCCTGACTCTCTTCTCTCTCTTCTGCCCAACTCTCCTTCTTGAGCTCTCTCTCGGATTCCGGCTCCTGACGCCACATCTCGAGACATTCTTTTACGGTTGTACTCTTTTCAGTTTCTTCAGTCATCGACCATGGTATATCAAACATTGTGAAAGTTTTTGAACCGCAAAAACAAAAACAAAATTAATAATAGAAACAAACACGAAAACAAAAATGTTTCCTTTATTTTCCCAAGCTCAGATGTATTCCACTGCTGCCACAAAATTGTTGAGATATAGATAATTCACTTTAAGAACTTGAATAAATGAAGGAAACAAATGAAATATAAAAAAAAGTCTGTATGTATAATACATATTGTACATATGTTGATACCCTTAATTGATTGATTGATTGTATATAGTTTAACGTCCCTCTCTAGAACATTTCAATGATATGGAGACGTTTGATACCTTTAATAATACACTGCAAAATTTTGTTTTAAAGTAGGAGTAAAAGGAAACATTTTCTTCTATGTACAAATTCTAAGGTTTGTTTTTATTAGGTCACCTGAGTAACTCAGGTGACCTATTGCTATCCGTTTTCGTCCGTCGTCGTGTGTCGTGCGTCGTGTGTTAACATTTGAACATTTTCAGCTTCTTCTCTGGAACCACTGAACCAATTTCAACCAAATTTGGTATACAGCATCTATGGATGAAGGGGAACAAAAATTGTGAATTTCATGGTCCCCCCCCCCCCCTGGGGCCTGAGGGGTGGGGCCAAAACCACTAAAATTATTGCAATCTTTAAAAATCTTCTTCTTTACTCCTGGACATCAAACTGGCAAACTGTTGGCATGAATGTAATGAGCATTGAATCCTCTACCAAAATTGAGAAATTCATGGCCCTGGGGTCAGGGGTTCTAGTGCTAGGGCGGGGCTCAATAGATTATATAGTGAATTTGAATTTTTTCTTTTATTTTGCTCTTTTGTGCTTCTGGGTTTTAAATAAACTAACTAAGCACATAGTTATGATGAGCAAGAGTGCCTCTTCCAGATTTGTGAATTTTATAGCCCCAGGGTTAGGGGTTCTGGTGTTAGGGCGAGACTCCATAGATTATATTGTTAAAATGCATTATTTCTTTGAAAATCTTCTTCTCTGCTCCTGGATATTAAATAAACTAATTAAGCAAATAGTTATGATGAACAAGAGTGCCTCTTCCAGATTTGTGAATTTTATGGCCCCGGGGTCAGGGTTTCTGGTGTTAGGGCGGGGCTCTATAGATTTTATAGTAAAAATGCATCATTTCTTTGAAAATCTTCTTCTCTGCTTCTGGGTAGTAAATAAACCAACTTAGCAAAAAGTTATGATGAGCAATAGTGCCTCTTCCAGATTTGTGAATTTTATGGCCCCAGGGTCAGGGTTTCTGGTGTTAGGGCGGGGCTCTATTGATTATATAGTGAAAATGCATTTATTCTTTGACAATCTTCTTCTCTGCTCCTGGATATTAAATAAACTAACTAAGCACATAGTTATGATGAGCAACAGTGCCTCTTCCAAAATTGTGAATTTTATTACCCCAGGTTTAGGTGTTCTGTTGTTAGGGCGGGGCTCTATTGATTATATAGTAAAAATACATTAATTCTTTGAAAATATTTTCCTTTGCTTCTGGGTTTTGTGCCAATGATCCAAGTATACATACATTTATGATGAAGAAAGGTGCATCTAGCAAAGTGGTTTTTTATGCCCAAAGAGTCAGAGAGGGGGGAGGGTTACATAGTATGAAAATAAATTAATGCTTTGAAATCTGCTCTTTGGTATTAATCAACCATTTTATGACAACATTTTCAAAATTTTGAAATACCGGTATGTGGCCCATGGATCAGTGGTTCCTTTAGGGTGAGGTACACAACTGGGTATAAAATGGAAGTGCATTTTCTTTTTGTTACTCTGATCTACCTCTGGGTATTAAGTAAATAGAGTAAGCTAAGTTAATAATTATGATAAGCAATGGTGTCTCTTTTAAAATTGTAGGTTGTGAATTGAATTTCATGGCCTCTGGTTTAAAACACAAACCAAATTTAATTGTTTGAAAGTTGACTCAGGTGACCTGTAAGGCCCGTGGGCCTCTTGTTATAAATGGAATGGTTTCCCATGGTAACCAATTCACAAAAAATACCAGAACATACTTCAGAAGAAGGTAGATTTGTTTTCAAAAAACAATACATTTTCAATATAACAACTACAAGTACTTTGATTAAGGTATTCTGTATAAAATAAATTCAAAGAAATTTTTAAGAAATTAAATACTTAAATTTCAGGGGCGTAGCCAGGGTACCTTTGATGTGGACGCCTGAATAGGCAGGGGTCCAGGGCGAAGCCCTGGTGGTGGCCCAGGGGGCGAAGCCCCCGGAAGCTGGTGAATTTTCGACGATTTCGATGTGCATTTTCGACCCTCCTGAAAGCATTTTTCTTGCGCTTTTTCAGTTTGTTACGCAGCAACGTTCACGATTTGAGATCTATCCTTTTCTTGTTATGTACAAAATGCGGTTAAAATCTCAAGAATGAGATATACATGTAATCTATTCAATAACGATATTAGGTTAAAAGTTTGGGAATATCGTTACAGAAGTCAAGCGTTACGGTTGGCAATTAATGTCCAGTAATAAAAATTAAAATTCTTGGCATTAAAGAAAATTAACGTTTGTTTTAAGTTGTTTATCAAATATATGTATTATGCAGTATTTTGCTCCCAAAATGATGAAATTGTTTATATCTTTATCGCAAAAACACTCCTGAATAACAGAATTATGAACGTTTTATTTTTAAGAGAAGAAATTTAAAACATAAATGGCTGAACTTTGTATAAAGCGACATCAATATTTGCAGTGAAACACATTTTAAAAATTATGCTATGCTCATAAACAAACTTTCACCTCATATAATATCAATAATATATTTACAAAACTATGAGTCTATTTTAAGTTTTACGATTTTGATTCGAACCTTAAAACGATAGAGAACAAAGGTAATTTGTAATCTACATCAGAATTGGCCATCTTTTTGCAAAGTAACTGACTGTACATTATTGTAAAACAAGCCTTCTTGGTTTTTTCGCCGCAAACTTTTCTATAATCTTGTCCAGGTCTATGTCAGTCTCCCTGTACGAATGTAGAACAGCTAAGGATGAGAGCCTATCCCCAGTCATTGTAGACCTCAGATATGTCTTAAGACGTCTCATTATGCTGAACGACCTCTCTGCCGACGCCGAGGAAACTGGCATGCTTAGAAGAATTTCCAGGATGTGATACACGTTGGGGTATAGCTCTGGTGTTCGGATGGCCCGCAAACTGTCAGCCAGTGTTGCCGGTTTGTCGACTACATCAGCCCATCTGGCTTTCCATCTTTGTATCTCCCGTTTGAACTCTTGATTATCGGATGCTGGTATGTCGTCTCCAAATGTAAAATACAGGTTTGTTATTTTCTCATGTGTTAGGTCACATTGATGAAGGAATCAAGTACTGCGCAATAAATCTCGGTTCGTTAAGAATCAGCCTGTCCGTTAACTCGGCAATGAGATGATCGATGAATGGTAGTTAGAGATTTCGCTTCCAGTACTCGGAAGGTGTGTTAGCAGGGGCATTACAGCGATGCTGTTGTCTTCCAACAACTCTTGGCACACTGGCAGCAATGTTATGAGTAGTTCCGACTTCTTCACATTTGGAAAAGATTGCCTCCCAAACAGTATCGTCTGCTCGCTCCGCCTGCAGAATGCTTATTACAGCTTGGCATTCCTTCACTGCCTCAAGAAGATCCTGTTCCTTTGCTTGAAGAAGGGCTGACAAAGGATTTGTCGGTGCAAGGACATGCTCTGCAGTGACTAAAGCAACAATAAAATCAAACTGGAGGATGGAACATACATGACTCCTGGCTTTGGAATCTCCATCTTCTGAAAGCTCCTCGAGAGCAGCAACGATGACATCGTAACATTTCAGGAAAGTCGTCAGAGAATCAACCCTTGAAAACCACCTTGTCTCACATAATGTTTTGATTTTTGTTTTTCTGTCCATTGCATCTTTAACGTCCCTGTCGAGTTCAAGACTTTCTTTAAACTGCAAAAGTCGCTTTGCTGAATAGTCAAATGCAAAGGCAATCGTCTGAACTGTATCCATAAGATTTCGTATCAAAGGCTCTTTACACGCGTGGACGATTGCAAGGTTCAAAGAATGGGCACGGCAGTGAGTATAATTTGCATATGGAATACGCTGGCGAATACGAGCTTGTACACCACGGTGCTTCCCCGCCATGTTAGCCGCTCCGTCGTACCCTTGTCCGCGAATGTTATTAACGTTGATTCCATACTCTTCCAACGTATTCAGAAAAGTCTCTGCTAGTGCCTCTCCTGTTGTAGAATCCGCTTCTACAAAACCAAGAAAGTATTCCTTCACCTCGCCTGTACTACGATCGTAGAACCTTACACAGAGAGAAATCTGTTCACTAGTTGAACAATCTTTAGCCTCATCAGCAATAAATCCAAAACATCCTGCAGAATTACATGCAGTGACTAAAGTATCTCTTATCTGCCTTGCACAAAGATCTATTAGTTCGTTTTGGATTTGGGGCGAAAGATACGTAGCCCTATCCTTCCCAGCCGAAAGATGTTCCCGAAGAATAGGATCGTTTTCTGACTTCAATTTAAGAATTACAATGAAGTTGCTTCTTTCCTCTGTGTGTCCTCTTATTGCTACATTTTGCCTCGCACAAAGAAGGAGGACTTTGATAATCTCCTTTAGAACATGGCGATTCTTTTCCATTACATCGTGTTGATGTGAAAACATTTGTGTAATAGTAGTAATTAGTTAAGTAATTAATCGTATTTTCCCTTAAAACTGATTCTCTTGATTTCATTGTTTTTTTATTCATTAATTGATTCTCATCCCCTCTCTCTCATTCTTTTTTATTTTATTAATTTTTTTTTTTTTTTTTTGAAAAATGATGTGGACGTTTTTGCGTACAAACGTACGCCTGGCTACGCGCCTGAATTTGAGATTTGAGTTGTTGTCAGTAGATTCACCCATGCATGAAAAAAAATCAACACAAAGAAATCATAAAATCGTGTCGTATGAAGAGACGTTCTATAATGCCGTGCTTTTCATGCACAAGTAGACACACTGACAATAACTCAAGACTTAAATTTTAAGAGAATATTTTTGAATTATATGAAAATTTAATTTTTGAATTATTTTAGTTACGTTGGGGGAGGGGGGTATTTATGTATTGACTGATTTCATGTTGTTTAACGTCCCTCTCGAGAATTTTTTCTATTTATATATTAAACCAATGTTTAAATCAATGGTCAAAGAAGAAGGTATGGTTTCCATACACATTTTGACCTGTGATTTTATTAAAAATGAAACTGGTGTAAAAGTTGAAAACTCATGATTTTTAAATAATTGAAATCCAATGCAGAAAAGATAAAAAACCCCTTGGCACGCAAAAGATCGTTTCTCTGGAATTCGAAAAAGAGTAGGCACAACGTATGCGTTCCGCACTGCGTGCCGTTGGCATACCTTCTCATCTTGATGATTTCCAGAACTGGAATTGTCATTTTGTGTTTCTTTAAAAATAAATTCAAGAATTTAACTAGAGCCGAGCTCGTTGCAAAGCAACGAGTAGGTCTTCCGTTGGAGCTGTGGACAGGAAGTAGTGTCCTTGGGTCAAGGACACTGCACATTGTTGTGTGAACAACATTTCTTCTCAGCATAAGCCTCCAGTGGATCTTCATTTCAAAGATATGCTTAAACATATTTTTCTCTGTCAGTAACCTATATTTGCTAGAACGACCTTTGATCAGGGTCTTGACACAACCTCCAATCATAAGTAATCTATATTTCAAGCAAGAGCCTCCGATTATATTTCTTTACTAATTCATAGGAGAAAAAGAAAATACTTTTTCTGTCATTGAACTTGATGTTAAAAGAATTGGCTCTGAGTCAAGGCAAACCCTCAATCTGAAACAACTTTTAGTGATTCTAAATTCATGACAGGAAATTTAAACTTTTCTGTCATTGGGCCTGCGTTTGTTAAAAAGGCCTTATTAAGTCGTCTGAAACAGACAGAATATAAGCAATTTGTATCAAGTGTGAACTTAAACATGTATAGTAAGGCCACATTTATTATATCTTTCGGTTAACGGATCCGCCGACCGATTTTTTTTCAGGTTCTAAAAAATAAAAATAATGGATTTTGTTAAATAATGGATTTTGTTTCACTCTTGTCGTTTTTATTCCGTACAGAAAGCGAAACCACATGGCAGTGTCATGGCTTTTTTTTTCAAAGTGAAATTGAAATGTTTATGTGATAACACCCTATCTCGAATCTTCTTTCTGAGTGGAAAAGGTGATCAAACTGGGGGTGATGCGTTATATCCCGAATGACGTTATCGTTAAAGAGATCAAGTCATCAACATCCAAAGAAGAAGGTCTAAGGCCACACACATACACCAGTAGACACACCGATCTCGGTGTTAAGACTCATTTGGCGCCAAATTCTTATTTGTAGATGTTAAAACAAAAGGTGAGTACGCTATTTAGTTTATATCAATACTTTTTGAATCTGCATATATGATAAAATCTGCACTCGTACACAAAACTCCCACATGACAGGCACAATCAAATGGATTTTGAATTCTAGTTTTGGGGGTATTTATATCAGAAATGTAAGGATCACTTCATTGTAAAAAGGGATCTGACCTATAGGACCGGGCTTGTTTTTTTCTCTACAAAAAGCTTGTCGATTTCTGTTCTGATTAATGACATTAGGCTAAATACATATAATAATTTGTTTTTTTCCTAAATTTTTATTTCAGTTAGTAGAGGTAGGAGGAACCCTTTCATTGATTTTCTGAGTTTGTTATCTCCATATGTACTAATTGACATTTGTCTTTACTTCTCATGTTTCATAAAGGTAGTGTCTACTGTCTCTGAAATGCTGTTCTTCATGTCTAGGCCATTTATCCGTGGATATAATAAAACGTCATTAAAGTGTGCAAATTATATAGGCGTAAATTAAATAAAAGGGAGTGCATTTACTGAAATATGCAGCCAAAACCAATGTGATTTAAGTATAAGGAATATATACAATTGAAATTTAGTGCTGCCAAGAATACCTGTATTGAGTAACACATAGTGAGTTATTCTTATCCTCGAAGAAAGCGTGCTTAAACTGAGGTTCGTTCCGCCTGACTGACAACTGTACATTGGATTTTTACGATTTGATATCTCTTTAGTGTTTCTTATATATCAAGAATGGACATGCATAAAGGATATATAATTAAAGGGAAAATACACAAATCTATACAAAAAATCAAAAAAGTCTTTAAAAAGGCGAAATTTAAAAGTGTTGTACCAGGTGGATTCGAACCCCCGACTTTAAAAAGAAAGTATCCAAAGGTGTAATAGTCCGCGCTTATATCAACTGAGCTAGTCTGACTATAAGAATGATGGGCAGAAATTTAAAGCAGGTGATGAAAATCAGGTTTCCTTATTATTGTAGTTTTTTTTTTGTGAATTTCGACCCCAGGGCAGGGGTGCCCCTAAAAATATCTTAATTTATTCCTTACATCATAACCTATCAAAATATCGTAATTTTATTCAGGGGCAGGCCTGCCCTGAAGGACTTCCAAGGCCAAAATTCATGCAAAAGTCAATGCTTTTATGGACAAAATGGTGTTTTGGTCAACTTTGGAGGTTTACTGTTAAGTTGTAAATAATAAATTTGAGGTATCAAATACAAATTTGAAAAATTTAGACATATATACGGTAGAAAACAACAAATAAAGATTGATTTTTGAATGTCGTTTTTATCCGGGAAATTGTTCTCTCCTATAGGTCGATTCTTTTGTTAAAGCGAATACATCCTTTAGGGGGTTGTACAAAAGAAGATTGTTGTGCTATAAATATTTATTGTGCATATGTAAAACGATGCCAATTTTCATTTTTAATATAGATTGTGTAAATACATCTCCGGATTATGGAGAGAAAAAAAAACGTTTTTGATGTCCTCATGAGCATATAAAGGGTGCATGATACACTTCCACAAGAGGGGGTGCTGTAATTAACAAAATTTTATTCTTTTTTAATTTTTGAAAATTATTTTAATTTTTAAAAATGAGATCAACACCAGATGGTGGTATATTAAATTTTCTCGAAAAGGAATAAATACTATACAAAAGCTGATTTTTATTTATTTATTTTATTTGGGGCCATAAAATTCACAATTTTGGTAGAGGCACTATTGCTCATCATAACTATGCACTTAGTTAGTTTATTTAATACCTAGGAGCAGGGAAGAAGATTTTCAAAGAATTCATGTATTTTCACCATATAATCAATAGAGCCCCCCCCCCCCCAACACCAGAACCCTTGACCCTGGGGCCATAAAATTCACAATTTTGGTAAAGGCACTCTTCCTCATCATAACTATGTATTTAGTTGGTTTATTTAATACACAGGAGCAGAGAAGAAGATTTTCAAAGAAATAATGCATTTTCACTGTATACTTATTTAGCCCCGCCCTTACACAAGTACCCCTGACCCCAGGGCCATGAATTTCACAATTTTGGTAGAGGACTCAATGCTGATTACAATCATGCAAATAGTTTGACTGCTTGATGTCCAGGAGTAAAAAAAGAAGATTTTTAAAGATTGCATTAATTTTAGTGGTTTTGGCCCCACCCCTCAGGTCCCAAGGGGGCATGGATCATGAAATTCACAATTTTTGTTCCCCTTCACCCATAGATGCTTTGTGCCAAATTCGGTTGAAATTGGTTCAGTGGTTGCAGAGAAGAAGCCGAAAATGTTCAAATGTTAACACACGACGGACGACGACGGACGAAAACGGATAGCAATAGGTCACCTGAGTTTACTGCTTACCACGTGTGTTGAAAAGTAAAAAAAAATACAATTTCTTCATTTAATCAATTAATTTAAAAAAATATTTGTAAGGACAATAATCCCACTAGCGTTTCTTCATTCAGGTATTTTCTTTGTAAAACGGATTCCATGATATTCACAATTCAAATCTATTTATAAGGATGTATTAATTTTGGAGCTTTCGACATCAGAATGATGTATATGAACCAGTCGACGTCTTTACTAATTATTATTATTCTTTATTAGAAAAATGAAAGCAGTATATAATCATGTTTATTTTTGGTAATATTCACAAGTAATATTTTTTTTAAAAAGATTTTTTAAATAAATAATGGTTTATTAAAAGTATCATTTATTCATATGATATGCTTACCGATATAAACACTGAATATACTGTGCATCTGTTCATATTTCAGATTCACCAAAACACAGTCAGTAAATACGTGTAACAAGTATTGAAAAACTCAGTAAATACATGTATTTCCTTACTGAATCAGTAAATTCACGTATTTCCTAAGCAACTTAGGCAACTATAATCAACAAAAAAAAAACGCATAATCAGATAAAATATGATAATCTACAGTCCCTGAAACGTTCTACTTTCCCACCTGAACGGTGAACGAACGCTGAACGAACGGTGAACGAACGCAGAGCGAACGGTGAGTGAACGATGTGTGAACGCTGAACGCAACTTGGTGAACGGTGAACGGTGAGTGAACGTAGCGCGAACGCGAGCGCAAAATGATCGGTGAACGAACGGTGAACGCAAGATGAACGATTTATTCGGAATGCCTCCGATCTTTTCCTTGTATTGAAATTATTCTTTTATTCTATAATTCTAATTCCAGGTGCTTTAATATAAAAATTAACAATAGATAAAT